TGTCTTTGAAGGTAACATTTGCCTCTGCCCTGCCCATCCCTTTACTGAAGGTTTCCTAGTGGAGGGTTTGCAGCCAAGTCAGACCACAGGGCAGAGAACAGTGTTTTGCTTACCCTGCTGAAGGTGGATTTGAGCAGCACTTTCTCCAGTTCGATGGCTATGAGACTGGTCATAAGACCCGTGAGGGTATCGTAAATCACTGGGGACAGTCCAGCCTGAAAGCAAAAACCTGTGTCATTCTTTTCAGGAACAAGTGAGCAGCGGTCCACAAAACCCAAGCCTGTGAGAGCTTTCAAGTAAAGCGATCCAGGTACGTGGCCCTTGGCAAAGGAGGCTTGAAGAACTGCAGAAGTGGTGCCTCAGACCCCTGTGAGGCATTGGAAGGACATCTCTGTCCTGAGCAGGGGAAGAATTAGAAGAGATGCCACGTGGAAATCTGACCAAAGCCTGGCAGGCTGCCATGTTCCTCCCTCCCTCCCTCCCTTCCTCTCACCTTGAACTCTGTCATCTGCTGTTCCAGATTGACGATGAACTGCTGGACCCAGGGATCGTTAGCCTCATAGTCGCTGAACTCCTCCTGAGATTGAAATACAAAAAGAGTTGTTGATGTGGCCTGTCCTGAACAGCAGCTAACTGCCCCAAGAACAGGAAGGGAGGTCCCTCCTGGAGCAGCACTGCACTCCTTCCGTTTTCTCAAGCTCCTCTCTTGCCAAATGTCCTTTTCCAGGCTCAAAGGCAGAGCTCATTCTACGTATTTTACTTTTCTGGGCCGAGGAAACAGCAGAAAACCAAGAGGAATGAGCCAAAGGCTACTCTGACTGTGCCGCTGAGCACAGGACGGAAAGTGCAGGAGTAGGGCTGGGAGCAGAGAATGCTGAGCCTTACCTCCTCGATGTTGTGAGAGACCGAGAGGAACAGGTTGATCCAGGGCTTCACCTGGGGTTTGATGGCTGTGCTGTTCAGCTCGTTGAGACCTTCCTGAGGGGCACAAGAAGAGAGTGGCTGAGCAGAGTTTACTGCAAGGCTGCCTTGATGCTGCGTCCCATCCTCACTGCAAGCCAGGGAACGTGACCCCCAGGCTTGCCCAGGAAACCAAATCCAGAAGTCCCAGATCCCACACCCTCCCACTGCTGGAGGGCTCCAAGGACACCGCAGCAAGAAGAGGAAAGACGTTGGCCCAGAAGCTGCCATCATCCTGACTTGTGACCTGCTCTGAAGGGCTTGTGCTTCAGCCCCAGCCCTGCTCACACAGCTGCAGAGGTTTCTTGGCAGGAGAGGGGCGTTCAGCTTGCTTCTTACCAGGGCAGGGAGGGACACAAACACCAGCCCTCCCACTCAGCACCAGCAGGAGGACACTGTGAATGGACTCAGCTGATGCCTCCCACCTCCAGTGCTGCTTAGCTCAGTAAAAGCAGGATAAAAGCTGTAACCACAGTGAGTTCCCTGAATTAATCATAACCCCAGCACATGCCATCTCCCCCGAGCAGCAGGTTGTCAGCAAAGGCTGCTCTGTCCACATCAACGCTAGAGAGCTCGCTGAAAGCTCTCTCCTGCCAGCTACCCCCACCTGCATCAGCAAGATGTCAAGAAAGCTCGCCCAGCACGAAACTGGCATTTGATGGAAGTTTTAAACTAAAACGAGCATTTCTGAGCAGGCCCTGCTGGCAACTGTCCTTTATCAAGGTAAATCCGATGAGCGTGTGACTCGGGCAGCACAGCCTCTTGATTGCTTTGCAGCCAGTTTTAATACTGCACTAGAGCTAGACTGGAGAATTTTACTCCTTACTGATGAGCTCTTTGGTGTTGATACTGACCACAAGCCTCAGCAGGGTTTGCTGGCAATAGCAGTCTGAAGACAGCTGGCTGCAGTGAACTGCAAAGCCAAATGAAAAATAGCCTGGCTCCTCTGTGAAGTACAAAACTGATGGCAAACCTGGTTCAAAATACTCTTTTGCTTGGTTTCTTGCTACAGGAGGTATTAGGTCTTTCCGCTTCTCTCCCTGCCAGAGACCACCATGAAATTTTAGAGCAACAGGCCCTTGGCGTGCCACGTGAGACAGAGGATTTAACCAGAGAGCCTTCTGCCCCATGCCAGGGAGTGTTTCCATTTTGGAAAGGAGGAGTAAACCTGAGAGAAAAGCAGCTCATCTACCCAACAGCCTGTTTTCAGCACTGCCTCGTGAAGCTCCAGACAACTTGACAATGTGTCGTGCCACGAGGGAGAACAGAAGAGATGGAAATGCTATTAATATTTCTTCTCCTGAAAATGTGGAACCAACTACAACCCTATGCTGCATGAAGACAAGTGGAGTAACATTCCTTCTGGCTCTGCAGCTGCTCCCAGGGCTTTTCAGGCAGCTGCCAGCTGGTGTGGCTGTGCAAACGGGCTGGCTCTGTTTCCATGCCTCAGAGCTGACTGATTTCCTCCCTCCTGCTCCCCTACCTACCACTCCCACAGTCAGACGTGGCCCAGGCCTTGGGCTGAAGCAATTCCTGCTTGAGCTCTCCCTGAAGACACCAGCCAGCGTGTGAGGCCAGCAGTAATTCGGCAAGCCGCTCACCTGCAGCAGGTCACGAAATTTGTTGGAGACTGCAGCCATGTCCGAGAGGCAGG